GCTGCTTTTGCTGCCGCTGGAGGTCGAAGATGTCCGCCGCAGGCCAGGCAAGGTACTTCTCCAGCTGGTTAGCGCCAGTCTCGGCAAAACGCCAGGCATTCTCCGCACCCAAGTTAAGAAGAGTCTCAGGCTTCTCCACCCAGGGTATTTGTTCCACTACGTGGCCCACGCCCCCGAGAAGGCCTCTAGACTGTCCCCTTTGGAGCTCCGGGGAGGCCCGGCTGGCCTCGAAAAAGACCAAGTAAGTGCTGCCCTTGACCACTGGTCTCCTCACGCAGACCACCACCCGGTCCACTGGGGGCGGAGGGCCCCCCGGAAGGACTGGGCCGGAACTGCTTTGCAGCACGAGGCGAATGAGGCCCTGCTGTCCGTGGGAAGCCTTCAAACTAATGCTTTCTGCATATTCGCGTCTGATGCGCCGCAGAGTGGCCCCGTCGACTCTGAGGGCCATGTCCTCAGCAGCAGCAGCAGCAGCAGCAGCAGCAGCAAGCGAGGGGTTCACGGGTCCCCGCCCGCCGTGGGCGCTTTGCAGCGACCCCGCGGGGCCCCCCCCGAAGGTGTGCGGGCCAGCCCCGCTTCCCGCAGGGGGGCCCCCCACTGTCACTATGGAGTTGAAGGCCCTTGCTGTGCTGCCTTGTCTGCTGCTGCTGCGCAGCCGCGAGTGCAGGTGAGAAAGCCGGCCAGAGAGTCGGTGGCCAACAGGTGGCGCTGCAGACATTCTCCAGACTTCGAGTTTCTTCTCCTTTGTGGGGTCATAGAAGGCAAAAGGCAGGCCGTACCTGCAAAAGCAGCAACAAAAACAGCAGCAACAGCCCCCTATTCCCACGCTTCCCTGCTGCTGCTGCACCCCTGTTTGCCGCAGCCCCATGCCTCTTGGGCACCTCTACCCCTCCCCCACCCCTGCTGCTGCTGCTGCTGCTGCTGCGCAGCGCTTGCTTGCTGCAGCGCGGGCTGGGCCCAGCCTGACCTGCCCAGAAACTCGTAGCTTTTCTTCAAGTGTTGGCGGGGCACTGGAAGCACAACTTCGGAGGCGGGGACTCCGTGTTGTCCGACGAAAAGTGGAAAGGAAGTTTTGTTGATTAAGACGAAGTCCGGGATGGGGGGCTCTCGGAGGCGGACGAACTTGGCCCCGGAATAGAGGCAAACCTCCACCTCCGTGAGGCAGAAGGCGCTGCTGCTGCTGCTGCTGCTGCTGCCCGAACGCCCCAGGGGCCTCCCTGCAGGCCCTGCAGCAAAGCCTCCCGCCACCTCGGGCGTCTTCACCTCCTGCGGGTGCCTCACCTGCACCAGCCGCGCACTGTCAATGTCCACGGGCCCTGACCACGTGAGCCCCACTGTGGACTCCCCCGGGGTCTCTTCTTCAGAAAGCTGCCACGTGTTGCCGAGGCCCCTCGAGAGTCTCTGGTTGCCTTCTTGCTGCGCTGCTGCTTCTGCGGAGACAGGCAAATTTTCTCCCCCTTCTCGCTCCCCGCTCTGCATTTGCAGCGAGACTTTGCGGCTCCCCGTGTACGCCGTCGGCGACCCCGCCACCGAGGGTGCTTCCGACTGCTTCCGCTGCAGCAGCAGCTGCTGCTGCTGCAGCAGCAGCTGCTGCTGCTGCAGCAGCTGCTGCTGCTGCTGCTGCTGGATTCCAGAGCTTGCGGCCGACGGGAAGCTCGTAGGCCTGTTGTGCGGCTCCGGCAGCCCTCGGGGGCTCCTGCGGGAGGCCTCGGACGGCTCGCTGGGCCCTTTGCTGCTTCTGCGCTGCTGCTGCTGCTGCTGCTGCTGCGGCGGCGGCGTCCTGCTGCTGGCG